ATGTCCCATTTTTCAGAAGTTAGGCTAAGCATATAGACTATGAATCACACTGAAGATCTTTCAAGCAGGGCTTGACTGTTAACACCTGTTAAAAAAATAAATTGATGGAAAACCGTATTACAACTTGAAAGTGGTACAACATTGCAATATGCAGGTTAGCCTGAAGACAATGTTCTTAATGATGTCATTTTACCAGTACAAGTTATTGGTACATTTTTCCCCAAGAGCATCACTGACATGTTTTTTGTCTAGAAAAAATTAACATTCCTATATCATTAGATGGAAATAACAAATTCAAGAATGAATGCAAACAAAAAAGTAGTAGGGTATGGGTAACATTTTATAATCAAGGGAGACATCTTGGCAACTCATTTTTATAAAGAAGCAAACCTGAAAAATTACAAGTGCTGGCTATTTATCTACATGCTATATGTTCATAAACAGTGAGTTAAGTACTATTCTAACACAAATCCATCCATTCAGCAGTCTTTGAACACCTACTATGTGCTAGGTACTCCAATAAGCACAAAATCAGCAAAAATTATGAAGTATAAAAATCCTGTAAGTCACACATAAAGTACAATATACATGACTTTATACATAAAATCTAGTCTAACTACTTTTTCAATGAAATAGAGCTAAATCAAGGAGAAGCATGTAATAATGGAATGTATGCAAGTGTGTGATTACTTAAACATCAATGCTTTTCCCTTAAAGATTATTGAATCTTTAGTCATGGGAGTATGGATGAAAGACTTTAAATGTTCCTTCTTGCCAACAGCATTTATTTCAGTTATAAAATAACACATTATATTTCATTTCACATTTAAATACAAAGAGAGTAATTCATTTTAATACATGTATTTTGTTTTGATTCTGAAGTGTTAATGTTATAGTTGTATCTAGTTGGGAGACGGGGCAGTAAAAGTCATGGAACACATCACTGTTTATATATGCTTATCCAGGACTGTCTTGAAGGTATTCATTATGGTTAGCTGAGTAACATTTATGGCTTCAGCTAGGCTCTACGTGTGATTGCCAGTAATGTGGAGTCAGGAAGGCAACTGTGTTGGATCTTCACTGGGTGCTCTCTCATAGTTGAGGTCAAGTGGTCTAAGATGGCCTCATCTAGAAACCCTGGGTGCTCTCATCCTCCACATGGTGAGGATAGTGTTCCAGGACAGACAAGAAGGGAAGTCCTCACTTCCACCACATCTTATTAACCAAAACAGTCACAAGGCTGGTGCTGCTTGGGAGCCGGAGGGAACTGCCAAGTCACAAAACAAAGGAAGTCATCAAAGCAGCAGGTCTGCCACACCTCCAAACAGGCAAGCACCACTGATCCTGTGACATCAAATGGACCCACATACCAAGGTTTGCAAAAGTGCTGAGGCAAAAGACCCCTGAGAGCAGAGAGAGTGCTGACTGGATTGATGTCTCTAAAGGACTAACATTTTTTCTTCTGAATGATTTCTGTTCCTTTCTTACACACAACTGAAGAACTCGTGTGGTCTGCATTTTAAAAAGAAAAAATTCTTTTTTTTTTCTTTTTTCGCTTTCATACTATTAACTTGTTTTCCTAGAAGGCCTAGGCACAATTTCTGCATGGTTCAACAAGCCACCGTAAATACTAATCCTGTAACCTAGGAAAACCACATATCAAGGAAATGGCAAGTGTAAGAGATTAGCACTGAAGCTAAACCCCAGATCTCATCGTGCTCTCCTCTGGAATTCTGTGACAGCAACACTTTCTGGAAGGAACACCTTGTGAACCCTGCCAAGGGGACTGTACTACCATGTTTAAGTTTGACGTAAATGACCAACTTGTGGGGTGAGGGAGGATAAAGGATTTTTTTAATGGGACAAAATCTTTTCATAGACCTCAGTGTGTCTTGGGAAAGCATTTAGAAGCTTCAATGCTCTTTAAAAAAGAAGAATATCAACTGGACAAAGGCGGATAATTATAAGGACATGGGAATAGTTTGAGATACTGGGGCTGAGAGACCCAGGGCTAGAGAGCATTATCCCACTTCAGCCAAGAAAGAGGCTGAAGGAAGAACTGGTATTACCATTTCATGAAAAATCTCTCCAGGCTTTCTGAGAGGCCAGGCCACAGAAAACCAGGCATCATCTTGGGGAGTTTCCATAGCACCCAACAGAGCTGTATCCCCTTATACTCCAACACTTTTCTGACCCCAGATGTGATTTCACCTTGTGACACTTCCTACCACCCCACTCTTATACAGATAAATTGTGAGCTGCAACACCATATAACCTCATTATCCACATAATTGCTTGGGATCAAAGCAATAGAAATACTTTCTGACTAAGCCACATAAAGAAATAAGCCAAAGAGTATTTCTTCCTGTCTTTGTCCATACTTGAAGCGTGTTCTCTCCTAAATCCTGTTGGTATCCAAATATTTTGCCAGTATTTAGCAGTATTTCAATTTGACCTATTTTTGGCAAAATAACTAAATATGCCAGGATTTGGAAATGAAACTTTTATTGGCTTATTTTTCTTTACCTACATATAGAATGTTCCCTCTTAATGTTTATGTTTCAATAGGTGGTTTATGCTTATAATTCACAACTTCAAATGTTTGCATGTAAAAGTTATACAAGAAAAGTAAGTCTCTCCCATTCTATCTGATCCCCTAACTCTTCTATTTCTTCCTCAGATGAAGCAACTATTACCTGTTTTGTTCTTCTCTGAGAGCAATTCCTTGAATCCAATGGTTTACATAAACTCCATTTTGCACAAATAACATGTCATTACACAAAACTACACCTTGCTTTTTTCACTTAAAAAAATGATCTTGGAGTTCATTATTATGATTTCATTACCTACAGAATGCTTCATTCATTTTAATAGCTATGCAATAATACTTACATGAACAAATCAATTTATTTTATTAGATCACTATTGGCATACATTTAGGTTAAAAAAATTTAAATTAGAAACAGCAAATGGTCATGATTATGAGTTTCACTTAGAGCACAATCTTGAATTGGCCTGTCCTATATAGAGACCGAGACTTACTCTTCAAAAGCTAGAGGGAAGTCCCTAATGAAATTTATGATTTGAACCAAAACATAATTTTATCCTTGGCATTTTTAAAACATTTTTTACTTTCCCAACTCATATTTCCTCATGCCCTTTTCTGGAAATCCATCTCTTCTTAATTTTCACCATTTGTCAGTATTCTTCCTATCAACATCCAACTCAAATTCCATTTCCTTCTTGACGAACTCCACCATGGGGCCCATCTGCATAGAACAGGACTTGATTTTTTTCCATGTCAGTTTACTTTAAAGTCATATTTGTAACTTCTTGTCATCATGAATGATGGTTATATAAGTATTAATGCATGCCTCCTGTCCTTGGCCAGACTGCCTACCCATTGAAAGTATTAATATATAAAACAGAGGGCTGTCCCTTCACAGGAATATCAGAAGTCCTTACATGTATCTGTGCTTAATAAATATGCATTGTGTAAATATATCCTCAGGTGTGATTACATTGGATTATGTTCAATTAAAATAGGGCCCTAAGCTAGAAGTCAGTAACGAGGAGTCCTACTCTTAAAATTACTGTTAAGTATATCTTGGATGGGCCATTTACATGCTAAAAGCATTTGTATTTTAAAATGGGAATAAAACACCTGGATTGCCTGTATCACTGGATTGTTGTGAGACTAAAGTGAAATACTGGTTTTATAATGAAAATCTCAGCATTAGAAAAAAATCCGAAGTCTCCTCAATTATCTATCCATTGCTCAAAATCTCCACATACCAACATCTCAATAAGTAAACTACAAACTTATACACAAGAATTTCCATAGGCATAAAAATCTCAGTCTAGTATGGGAGACCATTTTATGTTTGTACAGCTTTGAACATTGTTAATGAGTGGGTACACAGTGAAATCTACATTATGCTACTTCATAATGAAGAGTTGGCTATAACTGACTGGGGATTGGTTACCAACCTCCAAAGTAGGTTCATTCTGATCATTTCATAAATTGCTCAATAACTCAACCCACATTTTATAGGATTGGATTGTTTGGACCATATTGATAATGTTATTGCAAGATTCTTTCATCTTAACTAATCCTTACCATGCTTCCATGAACTCTAAAAGTATTTTGTACCTTCTGGCCTTAGTATAGGCAGTATGTTGTGCTACAAAGAGTGTTGTGTAATTAGTGAGTCTCACATTTGGGTCACTTAACCTCTGTAGTCAAACCAAACCTATCCCAAACAGCCTTGGTCATGAACTAATAAGTTATGTATATGAAAACATTTTTGAAGCACTGTAACAAATAAGAAGGACTAATATTGCTATTGTTATAAAACCTTGGTCACATTTTGATCCTTTTTTGCTTTGAGCATAAAGAAACAATAAATTTCAAAGCAAAACTAATTTTGAATTGTTAAAAACGTACACTAAGTATGTTCTAGACAAGGGTTATATTAATTCATACATATCTCTCTTTCAGATTTAACTATGCTCTCTTTTGGGAAAAAAAAAAAAAAAGTAGTTGAAAGCCTAAACTGTTTGGTAATTTTCTATTAGAGTAGACCTGGCCAGAACAGACCGCCTCCAGTCCCTACCTGCATTTATGTGTACCTCTCTTTATCAAAAACAGTTGGAACAACTTTAAGTGTAAAAATTATGAAATGTTAATTAGATTTCAGAAAACTTAAAAATCTCTAGAATCATCATAGCAGAAATACAGGTAATATAATACGGTAATAGAACGCAAAAAAAAAAAATCATTTCACCAAATGATGGCCACATCAACATTCATATTAGCCTAAATCCAAACCTCTCTAGGCATCTACCACTTGACCCCTTCTTTTATTACTGGGATAACCAGGCAGCTCAGAAGATCCCAATAACCAGGAATATTTTAGCGTTCTAAAATCTGAAATTATAACAGGGAATCTGCTGAGTGCATAAAAAAACACACATCAAGGGATATAAAGGATGCTTACCTTCTGTGTGCACAGCTGACACATAGGTCCAGTTGTACCTCTTCACTATGTCCACCATGGCCCGTGCCTGCTGAGCATCTGAGGGCACAACCCTCATGAAGTACTTGAACAGAGTCTTGTCACTCAGATCCATGCTTGTTGCCGAGTAAGCAATCTGAGGTATGTTGAAAAGCTGGAGCAAGTTCTGGACCTGAATGGCCACAGAACTGGAGCCAGGCCCAATGACCCCTACAATGGGCTTCTTGGAGCGGAAGGAAGAGGAAGACCCATCCACGCAGCGCACCAAACCTTCTTCTTCTTCTGAAGAAATGAGGGAGTCCCTTATGAACTCAATGCTCTGCTCTAGGGCCACAGCCGAATGCCAGCAGGAATCCCTTATCTCACAGCCCAGGGTGATGTTGGGCAAGAGTGTGGGGTCTGAGTTGATCCTTTCCAGAGTATGCAGCATGGCCTCCACTCTCTGAATGCCATACTGTTCACGAACTGCCCCACACTTCCTCTCATGAACTTTGTCCACTGTGGGCTGGTGGTGGACAGAAAAGAGAGCTCCAATAATGATGTCACCCGGCATGTGAGCCACCACCCTCCTCTCACTGGACTGTGCACTCCCACGGACATCTTCTTTCAAAAGCAGAACTGACAGGATCAACAGAAGGACCATTTTAGGAAAGGAGTTCAGGCTAATAAAGATAGCATGGTGGGGAAAATTTAGGAGAGTTCTGATAGATAGAATCAGACAACGTCCTATGTTGAGTGGCAAACCAAGGAATTAGCCAGTAATTTAGATGTGCTCTCTAAAGGACCACCATGTCCCCATGTACCATTTAGTTAGATGCGTCCATGTGATCATGATCTTCAAAACCTGGAAAAAAAATAGCATGGGTATTTAACAACATAAGTACAACTACTTTGGGAAGCTCTAATGGTCTATACTAGTAGACTTTGTTGATGTAGATTAGGAATATAATCTTTTTGAAAAAAACAATCTAAAAATCTTTAAGACTCTCTTTTGTCTCTTTTATAATTGTGTAATTTGATGAAGCAATCCGATAGAGCTTCTTGATCCTACTTTACGTACATTAATACTTTTTCCATTTGTTCATCTGGAGTACACAAAAGCAAATCTATGTGTGGCAGGCCAAATGATATTCTTACATGGAGATGAGAGAGAGCATCCTAAAAACAAAACAATGGCATGAACAGAAAACTTCAGGAAGCATGCAACCCAAAATAACAACCATTAGTTATCTCTGGGTGATGACAGTTTTTGTTTTAGAAATACTTTTTATTTCTTTCCAAATTTTCAGTATTAGGATGTATTCAGTATTAATTATGCAATCACACACAAAAAAGTGACTTTCTAACAAAAGCTACATAATCCCTCTTCAACTGCAAGGTAAGGCAAGCTGAATAATCTTCCCAATAAGTAAGTATTGTGTCTAGTTTCCATATAATATAGAACAAAGTCAGTAGGTATTTCCAAGCTAAATGAACTGTAGGGAAAAAAAAGAAGAGGGTTGGGGTATTGCAGAGTGAAATGTTCCCAAACTAGGTAGAAAGACAAAGGGAAGTGGGCACTGGTTTGGGGCAAAAATAATATTCAGTTCAAGTTGCAGTTCTGCTATTAAGAATTATTAATAAATTGTTCAACCTCTTAGTACCAGAATTTCCTCATCTGAAAAGTCCCATCATATGTACTAGGCTACTGTTAGGGAAACAAGATAAGATATCAACTATGCAGTTATTTTGTATATTGAATAGGACTATATATATATTCAGGACATGACCTTTCCTGTTATTACATTTCTAAGGGCATTCTGTAGCTAGGTGGTGAAGACAGAAAATTCTCTGGCAACCCACTCAGTCCTCCAGAGTCTTCAGAGTAATTACAGAGTCTTGTAATAAAATTCACAGTAATCAGTCCTCTATCTCCGATCCAGAAAAAAAAAAAAAAATCCATATCACAAAGACTCCAACGGCTAGAAGGATGCATATTTAGAACTATCCTTCCAAGTAGAAACTTAGCACCTCTTTGAATGTAGTCATCTATTTCAGTTTAAACTCCCGGGAAGAAGGAAATTTGTCCCAAATTGCCTACAGCCAATTCTAGCAGAGTTTGTAAAAGGGAACTGACAAATTAGTGATTTGGGTTATTGAAAGTATTGTATAAGAGACTTATTTGTTATGTTATCCTCTCTGCCAGCAAAGGATCTCAAATTGTTTTCAAGTGACTAACTTCCTAAACAACACCTTTCAAAGACAGGTGATGCTTCTTCAGGAATTTATACAAGCATGATGCTTCCCCAAGAATACTAATGGTTTTCAAAACCCATCAGGTCTGCAAAAATTCTAGTCCAGACACCAAGTGAAGATGACCTGAATCACAGTTCTCCTCATTCCCCGCATCCCACCATTTCTACCACTGCCTTCTACTGTCTCCTATGGCAACAGAGAAAGGCTGCCTTGCATAGGGCCAAACATTAAAATAAAAAACCTTATCAAATAACCAGATGTTCCAGGATAACTAGATGTTTAACAATATTTAGGGCAAAAATCAGTTTTGGTATGGAAGTTGGCATTGTAGACAAGGAGAAGGGAGCAAAGACTGATATTAATTTTCTCATTTGAGAAATTATTTGAATATTCTCAAGCTTTCCCTTCACTTGCTTAGACCAAAGACCTAGAGACCAATGCTTGTTCTTATTAACATGTGAATTCTACTGCTTATGAGGATATCTCATAACCATATCTCATATCTCATAAGCATATGAGCATATCCATATATAAAGAAATCACAGTGTCTTATTAAATCCAGAACATTAGTGAGAAAACTCAATAACAAAACAGGACTCATTTTTATTACATAAAACCATCAAAGTGATAAGTGAGACTAGAAGTGGCCTATCAAAATGGTGAAACTAAAACATTCTCATGAATTTTGTATTAGAATTATTTTAGGCAAGCTCTGTATATATTGAGACATACTCAATACACACACAAACACATGGACACACACACACACAAAACACTAAAATATTGTCTTTCAGTTATAAGCTAAATTAATTTTTTTACTCATTCAAAAAACATCTACTAACTATTGAGTGGGAAAGACTAATGTACCAAAGAAGTGCAATGATGCACACTGATAATTGCCATCATTATCTTTCATTGAACACCCATCATATGCCAGGCACTTGTTCATTAACTCATTTAACAAATATTTATGGCATGTCTATGCTATGACTCTGTCCTGGAAATTAAGTATTCAAGAGAGAATAGGTGATATTTGCTTCCTACAGGGCTCACAGATCAGTACTCTAAAAGATGACTTTAGCTAGAGCCTGGGAAATGCAAAGAACAATAAAATAAAGAAGGCAGTCATGTGAACAAATGTGGCTGGAGCATAAAGAATGAGAGCAATCGTGGTACAAGATGAGGTGCAAAAATTAGAAAGGGCCAGACCATGTAGGGTCAGGTAGATGCTTAAAAGGAAGTTGGATGTTAAGTGCAACAGAAAACCACTGAGGAGTTATAAACAAATGACTGGCAGAATTCAATCTTTTTTTTTAAATATATTTTTAAAAATTTTTAAATTTATTTTCAGCATAACATGTAACAAAGAAGTTTTTGCACCACACCCAGTGCTCCATGCAATCCGTGCCCTCTCCAATACCCACCACCTGGTTCCCCCAACCTCCCACCCCCCGCCCCTTCAAAACCCTCAGATTGTTTTTCAGAGTCAGAATTCAATCTTACAAAAGATTGTTCTAGCTGCTCATTGTTCTGGATAATGGGCAGAAGAAATCTGATTAGCAGACATAAATAATCTAAGTAGGGAATTACAGTGGCTTGGCTACTATTGGCGACAGCAGATACAGAAAGAAATGGACATCATCAGACATATTTTGCAGGTAGAATCAACTGGACTTGTGATAGACAGGGTGTGGGTTATAAGGTAGAGAAAAATTAGGGTCTACTCTTAAGTTTAGAGTCTAAAAATGAGTGTATTTTACCACTTAAAGATATGGGATAGACTGGTACAGCAACAGGTGAAGGCAGAGAAAACCTGAATAATTTTCTCTTGAACATGTTAAATGTGAGATAATCTTATTTTATTTTATTGTTAAAGATTTTATTTATTTATTTGGCAGAGAGAGAGGGATCACAAGCAGGCAGGTGACAGGCAGAGAGGGGAGGGGGAAGCAGGTCCCCTGCTGAGCAGAGAGCCCGATGCAGGGCTTGATCTTAGGACCCTGAGATCATGACTGCAGCCAAAGGCAGAGGCTTAACCCACTGAGCCACCCAGGTGCCCCACATGTGAGGTAACTTTAAAGCACCTAGGTGCAGGTGCCAAACAGGAGGGTGGGTCTATAAGGCTGGATCAAGATGTGTGTTTCCAGTTAGATATATCAACTGAGGGTCACCAATACATAAAACCTTTGCAGTGAATATAATCACTTGAACAGCAAGCATAAGTAAAGAAAAGGTGGGGATGGGAAGTCAGCCCCACATACGGGCCAGATTGTGGAAAAGCCCATTAACAGAACAAAGTCAAGTCATAAAATAGGGAGAGAACATAAGAACATGCAATGGAAGAGGAGCCAGAGGAGAATGTCCTGGGCAATTTATATTTACAGACACACAAAGGGCTTTCATATTGCAAATAATAAAACACATCCTGTTCTCCCAAAGATATTATTTTCTATGTGCATTGACTATCTGTGTGTGGATGTGTCTGTGTGTGGCATGTGTGTGGCAATAATCCTTATAACAACCTTGAGATGTATTATTTTATTATCTCCATTTTACAAATGATGGTAATGGGTTTTTATAAGTTATAAATTGCCTAGTTGCTCATAACATATAAAGGTGTCTAATCACTGTATCGTCACCTGAAACGAATGCAACATTGTGTGTCAATTATACTTAAATAAATAAATAAATAAATAAATAAAGTAGCCGATACCTTAGAAAGTGACGGACCTAGAATTTGTCTATGCTTAATGGTTACATCACATACACTTTTCTTTTTTTCTTTTTTCTTTAAGATTTTATTTATTTGACAGAGAGAAACACAGCCAGAGTGGGAACACAAGCAGAGGGAATGGGAGAAGGAGAAGCAGGCTTCCCATTAAGCAGGGAGCCCGATACAGGGCTCAAACCCAGTACCCTGGGATCATGACCTGAGCCGAAGGCAGACACTCAACAACTGAGCCATCCAGGCGCCCCTCCATCATATAACTTTTCATTATCCCTTGCTGCCTTACTGCCCCTTCCTTCAAGAAAGGTATTTCCCAAGGTCATAAAAAGATGAGAAGGATCACCCAAACATAGTTTAAACATCCCAGGGATATAGAATCCTACAGGAGGTTCCTTTAAAACTAGAGGGTGAAGAACATTCCAGGAAAAGAAATGATTCAGTGCTTAGAATGTAGAAGTGTGTATGACTGTCCAGTACAAACGTGTTTATATTGCCCTGGCAGCCCCCACTAGATTATGGCCTGCTGGATTATAAAGCAATGACTGTTAAAAAAAAAAAAAAAAAAAAGCAATGACCACCTGCTGTGGATGCACACAACGGCTGTACTTTATCGACATCAGCTATGAAGCTCACATACCTGGAAAGTACATTCTGAAATACATTGTGACTTGGAAACTTGACAGAATCATGCCACAACTTAGCTTATTATAAGGTTAAACAAGAGATCACATGTGCTCCCAAAATACAACAAATTAATGGAATATAAATTCCAGATAGACCAATCAGGTATACACTAGCTCTAGCACCACCACCCATTTGTCGAATATGTGATTATCAAGTAACTACTATGTAACAAGCACTCTTCTAGGTCCTGAGGCTTC